TATGAAGTGTTAGTGTTTAAAATACAGGGTCACCGGCTGATTTCTATAAATTAAATGCAATTTAATAAGTTTTTTTTTTTGTTGTTTTTAACCAATAACAAGAACTAAATATTATTTACAACACAAAGCTAACAATATAAATGGAGAATATTCCACAAACTTGAAACTAGGATATTTTTTTATGAAAATCTATTTTTCTATTGCAGCTTGATCGGCTTTGAGTGAATTTGATCTTCATTTCTGAGAAAAATGCACTTTTCTAGTGAATGCAAGTAAAAAACTACTTTATTGCGGTCCGATGGCGTATAATGTTAAAAATAAAATGAACCTTTCTTGTAGATTTACAAAATGGGTGAAATCCTAGGTTTTCTGTAACCTATGACGCTCTCAAGGTCGTGTTCTGCAAAGTTAATTTTATTTAGATCGTGCAGTTTGGTATATAAGTTTTTACCTGCGTTAAAATTAGACATGAAATCACTCTAGGATCAAACCGAACATGACCGGTAATAGTCACAGAAAAAAGCCAGGTTAGGAAAAAAAGTTACAATTTTATTTTGCGAGTAACTTTTGGTATACATAAACGGACCCATTTTTACCAGATTTTTTTTTTTTTTTAACCACGCTTATCGCTGTAAATTTCCATGTCTGGAGGCGTCAAAATTATTTTTTTTACTAAATCCAGGTATTGTTGATCCGAGAAATTTTCACTATTCACGCTGTCTGGATTAGGCAATAAAAAAAAAACATTTTATTAAAGAAAGACTCAGAAACAGTTCTAACATTGTCATAACTTTTTTTCCTGGATTCGATTCAACAAACTAGCTTCATTTGTTTTCCTCTCTTCAATTGTTTTATTTGAATAAGAATGAATTCAATATGAATTTAAAAACTATATTTTAGAATCAACTAATTTTTTTTCTTATAGATAGCTTTTCGAAATCACGCGTAGGTTGTTTAACGTGTTTTAATTTTGTGTAAAATTACTATTTTCTACAAATTCTATCGTTATTCATTTGTTATTCATTTTCAAGAGAATCGGATGAAAAATCCAGATTGAAGACTTAAAAAATAGATTAAAAATGTTTAAATTTCGTAATTTTTTTTTTTTTTTTTACAAAATTTATTTTAAAAATTGTATATTTCATAATCCGCCATATTTTATTTATTAATTATAGGTAGCTTTTCGTTGTTAGACTTACATTGTCTAATTTGAATTTGTCTAAAATTTATATAAATTCTTTTAAATGGTCCGTGTGAAACACTCATCAAATGTTTATAATCCAAGATAGGAATTACCGCTAGGAAAGTAAAACTGACAGAAATCAGGTGATATAGCTTATTTTCATTGAAAGCGATGGACGAGGATTATCTAAATCCTGGATCAGGCGATTTTTTTTTTTTTTTAAACTATCTCAGAATGTTTCTTGTAAGCGTGTATAACTTTTTGTGTGTGAGTGTGTGCTTGGTAAAACGAATCAATCGATAAAAAAGAGATAGAGGAAGCAGAAATCAGGTGAGGAGAGATGTGGTTGAAGCCAGTGATTATACTTTTGTCTTATTTTTTAAATTCTATTCATACAATAAAAAAAAAAAAAAATTTATTGCAAATAGTCGAAAATACGAGTTCCGTTGCCAACGAAGTTGCGTTAAAAAAACAAAACAAAAAAAAAATTGCGTCTGATAGTCCGTAAGACGCATGTTTTACAAGGGCATGTCTGAACGATTCATCATTGTAAGTTCCGCTATCACTTAGCTGTAGAAAGCTTTAGGTGATTGTTCTTCCATATATAATACTGGCTTAGTTAATCGTTGCAGATTTTATATATATATATATATATATATATATATATATATATATATATATATATACACAATGATAAAGAGGAAATAGGGAACGTTTATCAATCTGACGTTTCCTATTTGATTTTATTCTGTCATATTCCGATCTATAGTTGATCCCAACTCATAAACGTTATTTTTAGTGAGGGACACGTATTTGAGTAGCTATTCCTTTCTTTTTTTTTTTTTTTTTTTTTAATTTTATTAAAGAGTGAAATTAATAAGAGATCGCCTAAACTGAGAAGCCCTGGTAAAGAAAAATTGTGCCTCCTACAGGAATCGAACCTGTATCCTTTTTTTGCTTTTTTTTGTTTTTTTTTTTAGTAAGACTGAATTCGAAATTTAGCCCAGGTGTTATTTCACTGTTTAAAGAAAGATAAACACGGATAGCAACACACACACACACACACACACACACACGTTAATCCGCTAAATATAGTAAGAACTAATGCCTAATAAAAAGTATCTCACTCAACACAATCACACTTATATTACGTATACACTTTAGGTTGACCAGAAAATCCTGACTGACTTAGGAAGCGGAAAGAAGACAACAAATCTTGATCTCTGGTGGAATTTCCAAGGAGTACTGCATTTCGAGCTTGTTCCACACGGCGCCCCATCAACGCTAAACTGTATTGCCAGCAGCTAGCCGCGTGTACGTCAAATTAAAGGAGTATCCTGCTTTGGTCAATCGAGGTCGGGCTTTGATTCAGCAAGACAATTCGAGGCCACACATTGCCAGCTTGACTAAGGAGAAGTTCAAACAGATGAACCGTGTTGAGATTCTTCCACATCTACTATTCGGTCCCGATGCTGCTCCGAGTAGCTATGGCCTATTTCACTGAATGGCACACTTCCCCCGCAACAAGCGATTCAACACTTTTGATGGAGTGAAGGAAGCTTGTTTACAGTTTTTTTTTTGTTTTTAATATTCAAAGCCAGTGGACGGGTATCTGGGACAGATTCGGACGCTGGCTGATCACTAGCAGAAGAACATCGAGAATGATGGACTTTATTTTGAAGAATAAGTGTTGGTATTGCTCCATAAAATTTTGTTTTCTTCCCGCTTTCTAAATGAGTCGGGATTTTCTGGCCAACTCTTTATTTTTATTAAAGATATATACATACATACACACAACGGATTTAATGTACGGAAAGTGGATTTCGCGCGCCCACTTCAAATTACAACCAAGACCATCAAGTTCGCGTTTGCACAAATATCCTTAGGAAATATATTAATCCATCTTTCCACCTAGCTATGGGTTAAATATCAGGACAGGGTTGGCTCTATAGCCTTGATTGGCAACCAGTCTAGGAGAAGGGCAACTATGAGTTCAATTGGTTGTGGAATTAGCGGGTCCACTGTATTAAAACCTACGCTCTACGAAAACAAGCAGCAAGTGAGTGTGGTTAGGCTGCGGCCCAATATTACACAGGGAGTCTACGGGTTAATTGGTCGATCCCGTAAACAAATTTTCTAGAGTAGTGAGTTTAGAAAGACAACTGCAAAAGTCCCTTAAGGAAAGCGGTATATGGTCGGCAGCCAAAGATGCAAGCTTTAGGTTTCCGTATTACTCTTTTGCGTCGTCTGCTGCTACACTGGCATGATAGTTCAATCTTTGTACCCGATTGATTCGAAGACGTCAGAATCGAGTAGGTACAGAAATTCAACTCCCTAAATAGTGTAGCACAGTAATTGGAAGTCACACCGGAATAACGAAAGACGCATTTCATAAACTAAGCAAAGTATTAAAATCTAGGAAAATTTCCTTAGAAACAAAGTGCTGAATTTCTGCGTCATATCTACCGGGTAAAGTGATAGCGATGTGGCTTTATAGGAAACTAAATAAAATAATATGGACAGAACATATTAACGAGGAAGTTCTTATAAAATAAAATAAAATAGGGACTCGAAAGATACTTAAACTTGCAATCAGGAGATATTATGAGGAAAGAGGACCCAGAAAATTCATCACTCACAAAACATACTGAAGTCAGGGGAAGTGGCTAATAACCAGCTTAATGAAATTCGATGGAGTGGGGACAGAAAGATAGCAAAAAGTCAAATGTTACCTAGAGCAACAATAGAGAAAGTTGGGGAGAGCCACGACTGATTATTCTGGAAGGATACGGTACATGAAAGTCTAGAAAATCCGGGTATCATTGGTTGCTCTAAAACTGCGGCCTTGTACCAGACTAAAATAAGATTAACAGCCGCTATTCGTCGGCTACAGTGCCAATCTCGTCTCGCGGACCAATTCGTTAGTAACGAGTGTTTCAGTCTCCACTTAATGGTCTTATTGTCTGATTTTTCCAATCATATTGGAATAAGCTTAGTAAATAGCAATAGTTTACGCATTAAAAGACAGATGGAAATTATTTTGCTTCCTTAAATTGAGGTCTGTTTTATTTTGGGTTCATGCCTGTCTGCTTACGTAGGCAACAAGAAGTTCTGTTCAAAGTGTACTCTCTGACCGTTATAGTCTGGATGATGGTTACATGATTTTGTGCTGCTCATTAATTATTAACGAGAAGCTACAGAAAAAGGAAGAGGCAAAGATATATGGCTGGGGCAAAAAGTAAAGAGATGGCGATGAATTGAATGAAAGGAGAGACGAAGAAAATGGTTAACATTTCAGCCATTCCGCTGAATTTGCGAAAACGCCAATACACAAGAGAAACAGGTTCTTTTGTCAAAAAATATTACATCAGACCACTTCACCAGATTCTTATGTGCGTACTGGAATTTCACTTTCTCGTGAATAATGACGTGACTTAATAAGTAACATATTTAATAAGGTGTGTGTATGTATGTATGTATGTATGTATATAAAACACTAAACGTTATTTTTTAGTGGGTGTGCGTGTTTAAATTGCTGTTCCCGTTTTATTTATTTTTTAAACCGTAATTAATAGCAAGCGGCTTAAATTCAGCGAGTTTTAATTGCTTCTCCAAATACGCGACCTTATATTTTACACAATCAATAATTCTTATAGCTATCAATAAGTTAATCATCAAAAGCTTACAGAGATGGAGGTTCGGTTTAGATGTTGACAGTCACAATTTATAGTGAAAAAGAATATTCCATCCACTTCTCACAAAGACCTTACAAGAGTATAGTTATTATCGTTGGTTCTCGGACAATAATTCCAGGTTTACGGTCATATGCTGAAGCACCAGTTCCCGTACGATCACCGAAGGTAAGCAACGTCATACCTGGTCAGTACCAAGATGGGTGACTGCTTCAAAATACCAGGTGGTGTAATGGATAACGACTCTGAATTGTTAACTGGAGATCAGAGTTCCAATTTCATTTTGGTTAGTTATATTCACTTACGCGCAAATTACCTTTGTGGGTAAATGTATGAATCTATATTTTCTCTCCCAGCTATAGATTAATTAGTAACATTTGTATCAGTAAATCTTTATCCCCCCCTACCAAAAAAAATCTTATAGTCTAAAAATATTTTCTGTCTGTAAATGATCTGTAAAGAGTTAAGTTGTAAAAAAGAATTTATCAAACGACAAGAATTTTGGTTTCTTTCAAGAAGGAATAAAAAAAAAAGTTTCTTTTAAAATTATTAATAGAGAGCAGTTTCGTTTTGGAGACGTTGTTAATCAAGAATGAATTTCTGTTACTTTAATAAAGACACATACAAGAGGGCAAGACGGGGAAATATTTTCGATCACCATAATCGACTGTAGCAAACCGCCTGCATACGAATAGAAAAATAGTTTAGCATATATAGAAAATAAAAGGTGGGGTGTAAGACAATGTGTCTTCTCATTGGATTTATTCAACCTAAACAGCGAGGCGATTCTGAGAATTAGATGTCTTACCAGTATTCGTTATTGGCGGTCACAATCTTAACATTAGATATGCAGATGAGTTTTGATAGCAGACACGAAAGGAAACTACAAAAACTCCTACATTAGGCAGTGAAGGAAAGTGAAAAGAAAGGATTAAACATCAAATGCAAGAAGATAGAATGCATGATTGTTAGCAAAAGGATGAGCCCTAAATGTAAATTACAAATCTGAGATACCAAGATCAAACAAATATAAAAAATTAAATATTTGGGAAATGTTCAAACAGATGATGGAAATTGCGACACTGAAATCCGAAGACGCATTAAGATAGCCAAAGATACATTCCAAAAGCTAAGCAGAAAATTTAGAGGCAGAAAAAAACTTCGTTAGAACCAACGAAAAGAGGACTGAACTGTTACGTGATATCTGTCCTCCTATATGACTGAATACTGGGCAATTTCCTCAAAGATGAAGAAGATACGAGAAGCAACAGAAATGTGGTTCTACAGAATGATGTTGAGGATATGATGGACCGAACATGTGAGCAATGACGAATTTTTAGAGAAAAGAGAAACAAAAAGGAAACTCATCAGGAAGAGACCGTTTAAATTTCTGGGGAACATAATGAGGAAGAATGGTTTGGAAAATCTGATACTCGCAGGACAGAATGAGGGCAAGAGGGACAGGAAAGCAGCGTATAACGTATTTGATGAGCTGAAGTAAATGGATGGCAGAATCAGATTTAGGAGAAATAAAATTTATTAATAGCTACAATTATGGAGAGCCATGATCGCCTACGTCCTGAGGCGACAGTCCACGAAGGCCATAAAAATTGATTGAAACAAAGAGACGGTATATTTCTTCAGTATAAAGCAAAACACTTTACATTGTAAGTTCATTGAAATCGTAATTATTGTTCTTGAATTTGGTATCCACAAACCTTTGCCCACTCCTTGTACTGTTACGTACAGATGTTGTAAATAAAGAAGACCTACATACAAAGGCGATTTGTCAGCGTAAGGTGAAATAAAAACATTTACTTCACAAGGCAACTATACAGGTCAGCAGGTTAGACAATTGGCATCTCGGAGTGAGAGAGACAGAATAGACGAAATTCCACCATCAAAACAGGTCATATGATGCTATATCATATAACTTTTCTTAGAAATATTTTCTTAGAATTTTCCTTTTTTCACTGTTTAGTGTCTGCTCTTATTTCATGATTACCCTCAGCTCTTTCTAAGTTCACAAGCATCAATGGAGATTTTTTTTCTTCCATCTAAACTAGCTAGATTTATTCGTCTGAATTGACAGCATATTTTAAGACTTTACTATTATTAGAAAGTATTCACATGTGAGTTTTCTGTGTAGTAATTAGGTTGGAATCCGTTTATCACTTAACAACACAACAAATACCCCTCTTTACATCCAATAAATACGCGTGAGTTATCCATGTGGTCAAAAATTATGCCATAGTTCATTATTATTATTAGGTTTTTACAAAAGTCTTTCAGCATATTTTCCAGTTATTATAGTAATAATTAATATGTAGTGATACTGGGGGGGGGGTCATTTTATTAATAACAATAAAGAACGATCCTCATCTCCAGTAAAATCCTGTATTAATATTACGTTTGGGGATAGCTTGGCTGCAGGAGTTGCCGGCGGAATGTTGTCAATGTTGACAGCCAACCGTCTTCGGGACTCCACTCGGATTTTCTGTCTGGATTTACTTCCATAGCCTTTTCTGTGTTTGGCATATGACCACAAACTAGAGGAGGTCTAAAATCAGGGTTTTTCTTCCCCTAGATGAACTGCCTTCCTGGGATGTCGAAATCCATCTACCCGAAGCAGCTGATTATGAGGCGCCAGTTTTCCACCTTCGCCCACTATCCGGCCTAAGACTGGACTTGGTTGTCAAATAGCCTCTAACAAAATCCAGTTCCAAACCGGAGAATTTTATTTATGCCGTATAAAAATTGCAGATTTTATCGGGCCCTTGCTGTTAGGTTTTCATACAAGTCTTTAAACCTATTTTTCCTATTATATTAATATAATTCAAAGGGGGGAGTCAGTATATTATATAAGAGAAAACAGATCTCTCATTTTTGTCGAGTGTGAACTTATAGTCATGCTGAAAAAAAAAAATGACTCTATATTTTCTAGTTACAAAGTTTTTCTTTTTCTTCAATCTCACCAGCAGTACTTTTCGTTTTTTCTCGTACTACCATACGCAGTTTATAACATTTTCTTTATGCAACAAATAGAAAAAATACAAAAGAAAAATAAATATGGTAATACTGGTGTGATAGAGCTGCCTTTTTTTTCCCTTTCTTTTTTATTTTTAATAAAATGTCATCAAGGATTGATTTTTTTTTTTTTTTTTTTTTTTTTATGAACCTCTGATGATTCTAAAAATCCAACGTTACCATTATTGATTATTTAACTTTCATGATTCATTTAAAATTGAGATCGTTTTCTGAATGTCGCACTCGAGCAAAAATTATTCCGGCAAGGCTTTTAGCTAATAAAACCGGTTGCTGAAAAGCTTTCTCTATCAGAAGTAGACATTTGCGGTTTTGTTAACGTCAAGTCTTCCTAAGTGATACTCTTATCAGCATGCAATAACCTTAGAATATCATCTGCAACCATACTTCCTCGGCTACTTCTAATTGGATCCTTTATTCTTAGAAGTTCAAGGTTAAACGGAATACAACAAGAATTGGCAAGCAATGAGTTATTTTTTTATTCACGATTTTGGCTGTTAAATTGCTGCAATACTATAAAGAACAAGAAACGTAAAACAAAGCATTCTTCTTGAAAACTAAATTAAATATTGAAAAAAAATCATGATTAGTTATATACTCAGAATCCGAAAGAGACAGAAGTTTCTTGGACATATAACAAGGAAGTCGGGCGTGGAGAATTTGACACTCATAAGTCATTGAAGGCCGACAGGAGAGGTAGCCGGCCACCTACCTGACGAGCTTGCGTGAATGGATGGAGGAACATAGGAAGAGCCTTGGCAAAGGGACAAATATTGCAAAGAGCTACAAGGTATAGGCAATTGTGGAGGGCTATGATCTACGTTTTAATGGGACGCAGTACATAGAAATGATTATTACTACTGTCTTAAGATCAATGCTTAACGAGCATCCTTCACTTGTGGCCTTGTTTCAATCTACATATCTGGCGCTACCCCGTCGAGTGCTGGTATGCTAACCTCGCAGTATGAGTTCGATCCTTCTTGGTTGTCTACCTAATACTAGTGGCCTTGTGTCAAACTAGGTGAAGTTTATTAGAAATCTTGGCGTTTTGTTGTATAGTTGTTAGTAAGTTAATCTCATATGCCATTATCACATAGTACTACGAATCTGCTACCCTGTGCCAAATTAAACTAAAATAACTGTTGGGGTACTTTGCTGTGGAGCTGGCGTCAGCAAACTATTCTTATAGATAATTACAATCGTAGTGAGCTCAATCTTCATAGGATGTTTTACACTTCTAATCCTTGTTACGCTGTTAAAAACTTATCTGCTATAGAGTAGTGCTAAGTAGCAAGTCTTGCAGATAAATACTACAGAGTAGGGAGTTCGAACTTTTGTGTCCCCACACATGGTCTTGTGCTATGCTAAATTTAAAAATAGAAATCAGCCTGCCTGCTAATATTCGAGTTAGATGTAAACAGATACAATCTCTTAAATGTCAACACAATGAATTAAGACTGACATTGAAAGGAATCAATGTTGATTGAGGTTTATGCAATGTTTTCAGTTAAAACGAAAGAATTTGCTTAATTCAGTAAATTAGTTGTGAATGTTCACGTGAGAGGTGTGTATAAATAGTATAAAATAATATAATTCATAAGTAACAAATACGTTGTTCCGTTAAGTTAATGTTGAAAATATTTTAAATCTTTATTTTATTTTATTTTTTTTTATATTTAATAAACTTGACTGGTCGACTCTAGAGTTAGATCAATGGAACTTAGAAAAATACAATATCGCAATTGTCACTTTCACACCTGAAGACGATCTTCAGACCAAATGCCATTAAACATTTATCGAGCTATATATTTTGGATGGATATAGACAGTGGGGACGTAGGAATCAACACTGCACGATGACTGTCAGTTTCACATCACAGATGGTCTTCAGATCAAGCAGATTCAAGCTTTGTACATAGCTTGAAATGTAAAAGTGACAGCTACCATAGTGCTGATTGTCATGTCCAAATTGTTTGTGTATCCTATCAATTGCTAAATAGTAATGGTAATATTAACCGTTTCCCTATAAGGAAACATTTGGTATTTATTGACCGAGCAGTCGGTACTATTTTCGGTAGAAATTTAAATCATTTTCTTCAAACCCTTTTTAAGGAAAATAGGTTTCTCAAATCTAGTAGCTGTTATCGATCTTCCCAGTATTGATAGGCGTTTCCTTCCTAACCTTTTAT